TATTTTTAAAGTTTTTTGTAATTTTTTTTTTATGTAAACTTTAACTGTAATTTGCATTATTAATGTGCTAATTTTTTAAATATTAATGCTAATATTACTTAAAAGTTACTTGCAAACTTATCTCACTAATTTCAAATTTAAGTAAATATTTTTTAATTGTTAATATAGTTTTTTTATGAAATTAGTTAGTTAGTGTTAGTAATTTTATTTACTTAGCTAGTTGGTTTAATTTTCTTTTCTTGCAAATTCAATTCAAAATTTCATATAATTGAAATTGTTAATGCATGGCGCGCTTACCTCTTCGTCCACCGTGCTTGGATACATGCGCGCCGGCAGATTATTCTTCTCCAAACTAAAGTGATCCTCGGTGGTTTTACGATACACCGGATTTTCAAAGTTCATTGAGGTGGGACGTCTGCTGCAGTGACGATAAACGACCCAAAGTATCTGTGCGAAGTGTGAAAGAGAAGGAGAGAAGTACGATTTTAGCTTATCTTGCTTTACTTTTGTGGTTGGCTAAGCCAAAAATTCCAAATTACGGGCGGAGCTTATTTACTTGTTCGCACTTACCACACCTGTCACCAGTCCGAAGCCGACTAGTGAACCGATTATCGCTAATGCTAAGTAACTGGAATCAGTTGGTGGTGAGATGATGGTGCCATCGGCATTTGTTGCATTGCCGGCTGGATGTTTGTCCACTGTATAAGTGAAAGAGTGAAAGAGAGAAAAAAAACGAGAGAAAAGAGAAACGAAGATAAGATGATAAATTTTTGTACAAATATGGAATAGATTTAAATTTTTTAAATTAATACAAAGCACACTGTTAGACATTCAACCATCACCCAAAGCTAAAAACTAAATAAAGTGGTTTAGTAAACGAAGATTAGTTGCAAACATAAAGATCTGTGTAAACAGAAATGTGATGAAAGCTAAGAAGTGTTATGTATTGCTGTAAGCTCAATATGTATACTGGTATATTAGCAGATATTCTTATCGATAAATTTTTGTTTATCGTACATATATGAGCAAATCTCAGGAGTTTTTAAGTGGTGGCACACTTTTCTTAGATAATGCATTGTCTTCAATTTTGCATAAAGAACAAGATTTCATTGCTAAATTGTATTTAAATGAAAACCTAAAAAATACATACTAAAAAGAGCAAAATTACCACTCGTGCTCATATCAGCCGCCACAAAAGTATTGATAAAGCTCTAACTTAAAATATAGAACAAGAAAAATTAGGGAGTTGCCACCTGTTTGAAAATTTCAGTTTAAATAAATTGATAAGATAAAGTAAATATTGCAATATGGTTGTCAAAAGAATGAGGTTTAAGAACGCTTACAGCCGAAAATACTTCTGTGGAAGGTTGCCACTTGTTTAAAAATTGTACTTGAATTCAATTGATAAGAAAAATTAAACGTTGCAATATGGATATTAAATCAAAGAGGCTTAGAAAAGTTCACTCCCGAAAATATTTTTGAGGGGGGTTGCCACCTGTTTGAAAAATTTTAATTTACTTAATTGATAAGATAAATTAAATATTGCAATATGGGTATCTAACTAAAGAGGAAGGTTTAGTGTCGAAAATACTTTTGAAGGAGGTTGCCACTTTTTTTGAAAAATTAAAAATTAAAAAATTAAATTGATAAGAAAATTAAACATTACATCACGGGTATTAAAGAAAAGAGCTTTAGAAAAGTTTACCGTCGAAAATATATTTGTGGCGTGCTGCCACCTATTTGAAAAATTTAATTCAGTTAAATTTATAAGATAAGGTAAATATTGAATTAGTACACATTGGAAGAAAGTGCGCGGTATGTACCTACACTCGACTTATAAATTATTAATTAAATTGCCTGGAGAAAGCCAGTACTGTAACTACTTTCGAAAAACCTTCGAAAAAAACCTATATGTATTAACTAGCACCCATAAGAGTTTTAAGAGAGAGTAACAACATAAATATACTTTTAAGGTGCATGTAAGAATGACTCTTTGAAGCGTGCCCTTGTCCGAGGAGTAAAAAATTGCCATTACATGGGGTATGCATTGCCATTGATGAGTGGCCAAGCCGAGGCAAATGAGCTTGCAGCGAAATATTCTGATGCAGGGAAAGGTATATCAGGGGCTCCTCGACAATTTTCAAGCGCATCATCAATGAAGCATGGGCCCTTTCTGCCACCTACCTATCGAAATATATGTTCACATCCTTGACTAGTTAGGACTACATTTGTGAGCATCCCATTGGCTGCTTTTTTTATAGGGCCTTTTTTATGCCCCCTCTTGGAAACCACTGCGGTCATTCGATAGCAAAAATTTTCTGTTGAAAGAGAAGACAACTCACCTGCCCTTCCAACCAACTTTGATGCATCCGGCAGGTTGCGGTCTGACCAACATTTTTTTTGTCCAGAAAACGTCATGAAGGAATATGATTAGACTTAACATTACTATTCAGTGATTGGATCAAGCCGAGGTGAACTCAAAGCGTTTTGAAATTTTAAAATATTCGTATTTACTTAAAGCTAACGCCTCGTATATAACAGCGGCCCGGCAGATGTAGGGTTGCCTGGAATATCATAGAGAGCCAGCAGCCAGTGAACAACTTTCGGCGAGAGGCTATGACGCTTGTCAATGGCTCCGCTGGAGATATATAACGCCTCAGACACCTTCTTGAACATTTCCTAAATATTTTAACGTCAGGGAGAATAAGCGGAATGCCGACCAATGAGAGACTATGAACTTTTCTCTAAAGATAAGCGTTATGACAACCGCGTAAGAAACCATCCAACAGCCGCTGCTTTCCAGCATTACCAGAAGCAGTCCGTTTTATAGGGTACCTCTACTTATTCTTCTGCCGCCACAGCTCTCTTTCAAGGCTACATAACCTAACAAAGTCGCCTTCGAAGTTCAGATTTCAGGGATTTGCTCATGTTTGCTGATTTAAGAGTATGCGCGCGCCAGGTCTAGGAATCCTTTTCCTAATAAGTTTAGCTCAATAAATATTTAAATGGTCTTCGGAAGAAACGTGAAATAGCTCCATTCTAAGCAACTCGAGTAGATAGGTAGGGGTCAATCAGCAGCATGCCACCTCCACTGGCTTCTACAGTTTGGCTACTGTGTGGACTCTGCCCTTGCTAAAAACGTGCAAGTATAGCCATAAAAATTATCTATACACTTTATTAAAAAGCATTCATCTTACTTTAATTTCCACACATATTTTTTTCGTGACCACAAATTTGTTCATTTTTAATTAAAATGCGAACCACATGACAGGGATAATAATAAAGTATCTTTATTTGCGTTAATAATTTACGCATTTAAGTAAAAGCAACAACAGCAATAAGGAAAGACGCTATTCCACTTCAGAGATCAGCAAAAGTAAGGCGAAAATGAACGAGCGTAGCTTTAATGAATGAGCAGTGCGAACGCAGCGCTTGTGGCTGTAGCAGAGGTGAATGCGAGATTTTCGAGAGCATAGGGATAAGTGGCTCAGAATATATGGTATACGAATAAATTACTTCAACAGCGAAGCATTACTTATTTATTTGAGTATAAAAGAATATTTATATTCATATATATGTATATGAATTTATATGCGCACATGTGAAAAATTTATGTATTTTTGTGGTTATAATCATTATTAAAAGCATATATGTATATACATATGTATATGTATGTGAATATGCATGAGTGTGCTTGTATGATTGTTGTGTGCGTGCGTACTCCTTGTGCCACTTGGTAAGTGCTCGTAAATTTTCGAGTTTTAAAATCCACAATAATCCAATTTAATAGCCGCAAAAAAGAGAAAAAATGATCAAAAACAAAAGACGTATTTCCATGGAAAAAAAGCGCAAGCTCACAGACACAGCCACACAGCTACACATAAAACAAAAAATAAATAAAATACATAAATAAAAACGAGAAAAAACCGCATAACACACACAAAGCGCATAAAACATTGCAAATGGCCACTACTCAGTCGATGGGTAATATTAAGAATTCTGTGCAAGGATTCAACTGAAATCCACCAACACACACCAACACACTCAAGCTGGCACATGTACACACACAGTGCGGTCAGGTGAAAGGCCAAGTCGCAACTGCGTTATGTGTGCCTTCAATGTGCTGCCAACGTATGTTTGTATGTATGTATGTATGTGCGTATGATTACAAGCCTACTTCAAGGCGTTGAATGTTGATTGCAATCGACATTAACTGCTGTAAGATTTTAAATTAATGTGCTGAAGTGCGTAATTTTGTATGCTCAGCTACTCAGCCTTATATGTACATACATATGTATCCGTCGTCTTTGTTTGCTTTTGCGTTGGCGGCCAGTGTAGTTAATGCGAATAAATTTTTATTTTAATGTAATAAAATTGTGAAAATTTTTCTTTCTCTCGAAATGAAGAAATACAATTTTCTGACAATGGTTAAATTAAAATGAAATATTATTTAAGTTGTTAATGCCTCAATTTTCAAAGAATAAGGTCACTCTTGCGTTGAATGCCGAAAACAGTACCAGCAATTCGCTCATATAAAGCTGGGCTTATTATAGGTAACACAGCCTAGGGATAAGACCATAATTTTTATATTTTCATGGTCGCT